AGACTCCCACCCCCCCCCCCCAAAAAGGTGCAGGAAATGGGGAAATAGTTCCATCAAAAGTTATTGGCAGAAGAATTAAAAAGCAGATGTTCCTCGGAGCGGCCGTGTAACGAGCTGAGGCTCAAAACATCTTCCATTGAAAAGAATCACCTAAGAAAACAAGCATGATGTTTTTATCTCCTCTCTACCTTTCCTCTCTACGTGCTTTTAAATATTAAAAAGCAATAAATACATCACGTGGAGGTTGGAAGAAGCTACAAGTACGTTGGGCATGACGATACTGTTCCAGTCACCGTGGAGAAAAGCTGGAGACAAAGAAAGGACTTAATTAATTTCCACATAACCAATCACCAATATTGTTTTTCTGGGAGACAGCTGTAACATTAGTTTGCCAAAGCAGTAGGTTGCTGTTTTATTAGCCTATATTCAATTTTTCAGAGATTTACATGTTGCACATCAACCTTCTAACCTACAAGATGGCTTCCCTATGTTCTGAGGTGGTTCTTCAAAGAACCTTCCAATCTCAACCTCTGTTGTGGACTTACCATGGCAGAAAACAGAAGCAAATGTAGTAGTAAAGAAAATGATGAAACAAAGAGAAAAGCCTTTTATTTCTACAGCCCTCTAGAAAACCACGTTGTACCCAATTATAAATGACAATATTATGATGACCATACTGGAGTTTTCAGGGTATGGTCCACAGTATGGCCTCATGTCACCAGAAGAATGCAGACAAAGGTTCTCTTGAAACTTATCAGATGGAAAATCTTCTAACCCTGTGGTCTAAAATCAGAGTTTCTTCTGGGCAGTGAAGAAGATGCTGCGTAGGGAGAGAAGACAGCGAGGCCACATTTATGGCACTGCTCTTCACCCAACAGCCACCTCTTGGTCACGTGGAGAAACCTCCTGCTCCTCCTTACACCGGGAAACCACCGAGTTCTTCAGACTTTTAGAAGTTTAAGAAAATAAACAAAGACAGAAAAAAAAAGAACTGCAAAGAAAAGAGATTATTCTGTTCCTCTAAGGGAACTGTAATTGGAATAAAGAAATCTTTACAATCTCTTCCAGATCGCTGTGCCTACCGTGACGAGCTGAACTAGTTAAGAACTAATTATGAGGAGGACTGATAAGTGTGAATCTGCTGTTGTGCTTTCTGGATGGCAGCAAGATGTTAGTTTCCCCATGCCTCCAAAAAAGAACCTGCCACTTCTATTTATTTTTAAGAGAATTGGATGGAAAACACCATCTCCTATCTTCTCTTCTAAATCTTGAATTTTGAGTGCTGTCGAGGCTTCCTTGGAGCTCAGGTTGGTGGCCTCTCCTGTCCCCTCTCCCACCTCGAGGAGCAGCACTGGAGAACCTTCTCCCTTTGGTGACAGCACCCACAAAGCCTGACATTATTCACAGAAGGAAGAAAAATGGTTTGTGAAGAGCCTGATCACAACAAGAACTTGTTTAATTCGAGCCTGTTGGTGTTGTCCGACGTCTCCACGGTATCTACACCAGCCAGGATGGCTCACAGCAGCTCCTGGCAGGAAAGAGAAGCTTTGGAAAAGCTCAACCTTTCACAGAAGAAACCAGCCTTCCTGACACATAGATATGAGAATTAGTTATTACACCAGGACCCAAAATGCTCCAGAGGATGTGGTTTCTCTCAAAGCTCGCTGCAACAACCGGAATTCGCTGCGCAAATAACATGCAATTACACAGCCCAGGCAAATCTCAAGGCATTTGATAATAATTAATGTCAAAGTATATAAGTAATTGCAACCTACTAAGTGGCAAAACAATTTTGAAAGCTGGAAATGAGGAGAAATCAGCCCCTCTGCTTGTTCCTATGGTGATGCCACAGACGGCCCTGGCCATATTGAAGACTGTGGATAGAAACCAGGATCAGAGCAAGGTCAGAATCTTCTACAATTTCTCAAAGTTTGCTCAACCGTGGCTCATTTGCCTTGTTTTCACCTTCAAGGCTCTTTGCATCATCCTGCCATTACTGATGGCTGCTTTTTCCATTTCCTTCCTTGCCCAGCAGACCCTTCTCTTTTCTTCTCCGAGGGCTACCGTCCTCCTTAAGGAGGCCAGAGATATTGAGGTTACTTGGTAGAGCAGGACTGATAGTTTAGACCATTCCACCCTTACTGGTCAATCATTCAAGAAGGTGTCATGTCTCTACCACGGGTGTTGGGTTCTTCTCTCTCTTCACCTTGTCCTAGAAGATGAACATCTGAGGTTACAATGCTTTCTGGAGCAAATCCTTGGCGAGACCTTTCCTTCAAGACAAAATAAAAGCCTTTTGACCATGCTCTTACCCTCAAAATGTCTTTCAACATGTTTGTCAAAGCCTAAATCTCCTACGGAGCTCAACACTTTTCATTGTGTCCTTAAGGGCAGTTCTTTTGGGATGCTCTTGACTTGTTTCTTGGAGAAACAAGTAAACCTTCGCAGTATTTTCTGCTCTCAGGTAACAAAGCTTTATCAACTTTCCCAGCCAGCATCAGCATAATGGTCTCTGCATTAAAAGGCTATTAAATTACTGCTTTACCGTGTGGGTACCTTTTATCTTATGGATTTAGTTGTAAAATCTGGAGATCTACGTAGCCATTATTGCAGAAAAGATTTCAGGTTACCCTTCAGCTATTACTGAAGAGGAAGGTGTGATGACTCTATTAAAATCAGAAGCCAGAGTTGGGATTTAAACACTGAAGGTAAGTGGTCTAATGAAGGTGCTTCATGCTTGAGAAGACTCTTTTTTTTCCTGAAATAAGATGGGCAAACATAATGAGACCCATCAATTTGCAATTCACTCGAGTCCCCGCAGGAAGAAGGGATGGATTGTTTATGTGAAGGATGGATGAAGATGAGCACATTGCTCCTGCTGCCTCCATCGCCTCCATCAATCCCCTGCCCAGCGGCCAGATATTTACACCTCACCAGCAGGGCCCAGGAATTCTGATTATTTCTACCAATCCACTTTTTTATCTCATTTTTTTGTAACAGAAAGCGAACTCCCAATTGACCTTACTCCTCATTGACAACACCACGCCGCGTTCCAGGTGTGATCTTTGGCTCTTGAATTTTGCCAGAGTAAAGAAAATATCATGCTATACGTGAAGATCTCTTCTAAAGCCCAATAAAACCAATTAGGGTCTCTGATTGCTTTGGAGAAGCCTTGGGTAAAGCCCTACTTACATCCCTTTTATTCGTGAGGAACACCGAGAGGGAGCTGGCTTTGAACTTCAGTAGCCATGGACACTGCTCACCAAGCAGAGGAAAATAGAGGAGATACAAAGCCTTTTGATCTTGCCTTTGCATTAATTGTTGGTTGGTAGAATGCTCTTTACCAGTTTCATGAATTTAGGTCTCTTGAGTGTATGTTTACATGGTATATCTTCTAAGAAGTTGGAAATACTTGAAATACTTGGAAAACACTTGGAAATACTCCTGCATGGATTTGTGGCTGTTGGCTCTGCCACAGCCTGGGGTAATAAAAAATCACTACAGGCTGAAAACCAAAGGGAAGAACAATTCCAAGGACGTGATGGTAGGTGGGGAAACTAAAATGGGACTTTATTCCATCCCTGCTGCTGACTTTCTGTGCCTTTTTGAGCTTCTACAAGTTATAAACATCACGTGCCCCAGACCATCCACCTGTATAATAATAAACCAGGGCCTTAATCTTGTTGAGATCTCTGGATGTCATTATAGCACATAATTTTTTTTATATGTTTATTATCAGGTTACTACCCTGGTGCAATTTTAAGTACATCCCAAAGAATACTTTTTGATAAATCCTTTTAGAAAAGAGCTCATCTAAAGCTGAATTGTGGGAACGCGGCAGAATCATTTTGAAATCACATGAGGTTAAATCCAAAGAATTAAATACTGAAAAAACCACCAAATTGCTTTGCTGCTGATTCAGTTTCTGGAGAGAAACAAAGGAAATGGAGAGCTAAGCAGGACCTTATCTCAACTCCCTTAGAGCACTCACCCCTCCTCTGTGAGATGCTGCAACCCCTGCTGGACCCAAACTGGACTGTGGAGTAAAAAAGACCATTTCCAGTAACTCCAGTATGCAGCTTCTGCGGTAGAAGGGATTTAAGCTTCCCAGGTGGATGGGTTCTCTCCAAAGAGCTGAGTGTTCACAGCCAGAAACCCAGCTCTGAGGGGAAATAGGGTCAGGAAATATTGGCTTCAGTGCATCTCACTTCAACAGATTCACAGAGATAAAGTTACCTTCATTCTGTGATACTTTTCTATGACTATTTAGAACTAATTAATATAATTGTTGTCTTGTTGTTCTGGTTTACACAATTTTCAATCTTTCTTTTTAATGCCAGAAAATAGTATGGGGTTTTTTTTTAAAAAAAAAAGAATGTATTTTCTGAACATCTCCCATGTTTTCATCACATGGATTATCAGGGCAGAACACTGATGGATGGCTCCCCAGTTGTAATTTTTAGGGTTAGACTCCTGGAAAAGTGTGATAGGGATGGAACCAGGACACGGGCTGTTTCTGTGTGGATGGGGATGGGACAGGATGGGGATGGGGACACCCCAGGACCTCCCAAGTGGGAGATGGTTTCCTCCAGCTCCCTTCTTTCCCTACTGGAGATGGCGATGGCTCAGCATCTCCAATGGTTGTGGCAGAGGAGAAAAAAGAACAGATTCCTTCTATAATACATGGCAAACTAGAAATGTCACCATCTTCTCCTCCTTGTCTTGAAAACACTGTAAGCAGACGGAGCTCTGAAGGAGCCTGGAGGAGAAGGCAATCCATGGGAAGGATTGCTGACCAGACAGAAGTCACTTTATCAAGGCACAGAGATATCTTCTGCCTGGAAAAAACTGATATTTAGCCATTGTATTTGATGGCTGGTGGTGCCATCAGCAGCAATCAAACAGGCAGGACAGCCTTTTAGTCAAGCTCTGGCCGGGGCCTGAGTCTTTTTTTTTTTCCATTTTCTTTAGTTTCCTCTCCAGCGGAACATTTATCCTAAAGATAAAGTTGCAGCACTCCAATCTTCAGGTGGATGGAAACAAAAAGCCTCTGGAAAGAGAAGGCGGCGTCGGAGCATCGTCTGGTTGGCAGGATGCTGAGCGGCCTCTGATTTATTCAGGGATTGCTACCTCTTGATGGATGGGCTGCAGGTAGGCTCCCTCTCGGAGGAATTATTGCTGGGCATTTCTTTTTTTGTCAGACACAGCTGCAATTGGTCAAGAGTCAAGTAAATTTTTCACCGAAGGGTAAAATAGAGAAAAAAAGGCTTCGTGTAGCGTCTCTACAGTCTCTTTAGTTGCTCTTGAGCTCATGAGTATGTTAAGAAAACAGCCAAAAAAGTAAATAAATTCAAAGAGGGTGTTCAACCTGGAGAAGGGAAGGGTCCAGGGAGAACTTGGAGCCTCTTCCAGTCCCTCAAGGGGCTCCAGGAAAGCTCAAGAGGGACTCTGGATCAGGGAGGGGAGCCACAGGATGAGGGGGAAGAGTTTGACACTGAAAGAGAGGAGATGGAGATGAAATTCTTTGGTGTGAGGGTGGTGAGAGCCTGGCCCAGGTTGGCCAGAGAAGCTGTGGCTGCTCCATCCCTGGAGGGGTTCAAGGCCAGGTTGGAGGGGGCTTGGAGCAACCTGGTCTGGTGGGAGGTGTCTCTGCCCAGGGCAGGGGCTTGGAACTCAATGATCTTGAGGATCTCTTCCAACTCTTGCCATTCTATGATTCTATGATTTAAATCAACCTCTATGCTCAGGGCCTTTATGAACAAGCTGAAATGATGAAGGCTGAGGAAACCCTTCAGTCCTCAAATTTTTCTTCTTCCATGATCCATGATTTTCCTTGGATCATCCTTGGTGACGACTAGGATACCTGAACCCACCTTTTACCCCCAATCCCACCACTGGATTCCAATCCCCCGTCCCCAAAGACCTGTCTGAAAGAAGCAACCAAAAAAGGGAGGAAAAATCAGTCATTTTGAGATGAGGTGGAAAAAAAATCTGCGGAACAGATTGACATGAATCTGCCAATAATTCAGCCTCGCTGTGCAGTGGAGTTAAGGGAGGATTGTAAGAAAATATGAGCCCTCCAACTCTAATTAATATGCCAGAGCACGCTCGTTAGGCTTGAAGAGGGAACAGATGGCTGCGGGCGCGGCGGAGGGGGAAGGCGGGAAGGTGAGGCTGGGGGGCAACCACGAGAAGGTGAAGAGCAGTTGAGGGGAACACACAAACCACAAATCTATTACTGGAGAGGAGCAAACAGGAACGTAGAGCTCACTGGAGGGGAGAGAGGAGCGATGCGAGACGGGACAAGGGCATTCACCTGTAGAAAAGGATCTGCAAAGGGGAAGAAACTGGTCTCTGTTTTGCAATCGAGAAACAATTGGCTTAAATTTCAGCAAGTTAAGATGGTAAAACCTATTTCCGAGCGTTTTAATAGGAAATAGCAGAAAAAAGGCACTGACTTCTTGCTGCTCCGAAGGTCCTGTCCACGGAGAGGGTCGGGAAGGGCACCGGGCGAAGGGTGAACTGGGGGTGGGGGTATCCACAGGTGGGGGACGGCAGGATCCCGGGGTACTGGGCACTCTCAAGGGTTGGCACCGGGATGGCACTGACCACGGCTGGAAGGAAAGGACAGAGACATTAAATGAGTAGGTTTGGAAAATCATAAAACCAACCCAGTCCTTAGAGGGTCATTAGAGAACCAGAAACCACCACGTCAACAACCACGTCTCCAGAGTGAAGGACCCAAATGGTCAAAGATGCCTCTGAAGCCACCTCTCTATATAGAAATAATATAGAAATATTAGCCACGTTTTGGGATGGGCTCTGAATCCTTTGACAAGTCAATGAGAAGGAATGGATCAGGCAATTTAAGGGCTTGTATTTCAGTTGTTGGGCACCTGCAGCTCTTCCAGCTTCACACCAATGTCCCCATCACCATCAGATGGCCCCAATGGGGGACCAAGAGGGGGCTGAGGGTGTCTGGGCATCACTCCCCACTCGGGAATGTCCAAACCTTGAAGGACCAGGGGTGAGACGTGCCAGCAAACCAGCTAAAAAGTCTGAAGCTGAACTTTTGAGTTGAATTTAAAGAGATGCTTTGATTTTCCAACCAGGACCAGCGTGGGCTAAAATTCAGCCTTTCCTGGGAGTAATCTCCTTCCTTTTCAACAAATCAGTGCTTGAAGAGCGGGGTGATAATCAAACCACACCAATTTCTTTGTAGCCTTTAGGAAAAACTTGGAAACTCTCATCAAAGTTTCGCCCAGCTAAACAATAAGCAGAGATTTTTGGCTCCTTGATGATAAGGTTTGGCTTATCTAGCACCTTTCACACATGAGTTAGAAGCAACGCTGTCAACTTTGCAGACAGTCATTACAATTCCTTCTCTCTCCCTCTCCATCCATTACCCAGAGTGGCCAACTGGGCTACCTGCCCAAGGTCACACAAGGAGCTACGACGGTGCCAAAGCTTTAGAAAGGTGGGATTTATATTTTTTTTCTTAAAGCACACGGCTGTCAACGAGACAGCTCTGAGCTTCCAGAGGTAAAAATGGGAGGAGGTAGAAAACTCCTAAAGAAATGCTAACCCGGGTGAGTCGAGCTTCGGAGTTGGCTGGGTTCAATCCAACCTGCTCTTAGAAAGAGAATTTCTACTCTTCAGACATTTCATTGTGTCTGTGGAAGACATTTTTATTGACAATATTTATAACATCGCCGCTACGGTGAAAAATAGCCCTCTTTATTGAATCCTATTAAAGAACAACTTGTTTTTCCAAGTCCATTCCTTCATTTCTTTTTTTTAGACGCCAGGATTACTATTCATCGCGGCGCTCTATTGTAGAGAAAGTGGAGAAAAGGGACCATCCAACGGTTTTTCAATAAATCTGGGCAATTTCAAGCAGATATGACAACAAATGGGTTCTGTCACAGCCCCTCAGCAATTGGATTTGCTCTTAATACCGAGACGCTAAGACGCTCCAAACAGAAATTCCCTGACTAAATCAGGGAGCTCCCTCAACGCTCTTCTACATTTCAAATGTACTGTATTGAGGGGAAAAAAAAACCAAAGCAGCACCCAAAAAATGACAAAGTGGGGCATTTTGAATCATATTTGAGAATCCCAGAGGGACCGAGTCGATGTGTTTGTATTTCCCTGAAAAAACCAAAGAGCTGCTGTGATTTTTCTGCCATTTGAGGGAGGGGGGATGAAGAGAAAAAACACCTTCCCCCAAAACACAGCAGAAATCTCTCTCCACACCACTTTACTCCACCAGAATTTTATTTTCCCTCTCCCAAAAAGCGAGGATTACGAATACAAACCAGGAAAATTAGAGGTATGACACTTGAATACCCTGCAAAGCCCTTTCTCAACTATTTCTCTCCGTAAATACTCCTCTCGATGTAAGAGCTGGGATATTTGTGACTTAGAGGATTCCATCAAAGCCGTCAAAGATATGGCTAAAACCTCATCAAATTCATCTGCTTTATGCTCCTTCCACTTCAGGAAGCAAAAGCATGTTATGGAGTATATAGCACTGAGCAGGAAGCCTTCCACATTTGGTATTTAACAATTAACAGTTTGGTGGCTTTTCCTTCCCAACGACGACGTTGCTCCTCCCATCTATTTCATCGCTGGCTGCTGATAATTTTTTCCAGAAATTAATTAAAGCATCCAATCTGACAAAGCTGCAGGTTTTTCTTTTCTGGGGGGGATAAACTGCAGAACTCAGCCTGCACAAACGTGCATAATAAGACGTGTATGAATCTGAGTTTAATTATTTGCAAACAATCACAGCGTGTTGTCGCTGCAGATTAGATTTATACCATCGAAAATATAAATAAATAGAACAGAGAATATCATTTGTCAAAATGCAGAGTTTGAATGCAAAAAAGAAAAAGAAATCTGTTTAAGAGCACTTTGATTTATAAGCTGTGTAACGACGTTACCTTGACTTTTAATTAACTAACCCTGCTATTGACCCACCGTAATGACAATTGATTTGGTTCTGATTTTGTTTCCACCCCTTCAAGTCTATCTGTTTTCTTGGACTAGTGACCTCCTTCAAGCCAGGGCAACCCCAAAAAATGGGACAAATTGCCCAATTTTGAGATTAATGTGGTTACAAGATGGTAATATTCCCCAGGTGGAGTCAGAGCTTTCTCCACCACGTCCCACCTTTCTTCCAGATGATAAATAGGGTGGAGAAACTGGAATTCATCCTCTCCCTTAACTCCTCCCAAGTCATTTCCTGAACAAACCATTCCCTCTCTTCTCCATCACTCACTTCCTTCTGTTTTATTTTATTTTTAATGCATCATTTGTGATGTGCCTTTCCACGAACCTACAAATAGGCACTTACCTTTAAACAGCAGAGCCAGAAAGAAATTTGGGGATGAAATGGATTTCTGTCAGTCTGTGTCCATTTTTAACTCAGGCAATTTACACACATCTACCAATTCCTGCAGATTTCTGCCTGCACCTATTTTGGGAGGCCAAAGGGAGAACTCCTAGCTCAAAGCTGAGAGCTACCAAGAGATTGATCCCAAGGCTGCTTGGAAGAAAGATGGAGACCTAAAGCCTCATCCTTGACCTTGAACTTGATCAGTGCCAACCCTTCTCTACGGTGCCTCTGGGCTCTCACTTATCTCTTTCCTTTGCTCAGATGTCAAAAAAAAAGGTCATTTCAGAAATTCTAATCAGTTCTGCAGGATGGAAGAACCTATTAAACACTCTCCAGCCTCCGTGTCTTTCTTGTGGACTTGGGAAAAGATTCACTTCATCTATGAAATGTGTTCACTGCTAAAGGCTCTGTAGTCACTAATGTTTAACACCTGGTAAAAATATCTTTTCTATCTTTTTTCCTCATTTATTTGGCTGCTCCATGTTAAAAAAGCACACGGTGGCGTGGCCAATGACTATGGACAAAAGAAAATACAGCTGAAACTGTAATAGTGTCCAGCTGATTGCAATTAATGATAATAAGAAGAATAATAACATGACAATGTACATCTGTGTGTTGCAAAGCCTCTGCTCTGGCAGCTTTGAACCTTCAAGTTTTATAACAGGGAGACAAGAGGGATTTATCCATCACTATCCACCTGCTAAATATAGAAATGGGGACTTTTTAGGATTTTAGGCTGACTCTGGCAGAAATAGGATTGCTGAATTCCCTCCATACAACTTCCACCCAACACGTTGCGAAGCCCTGGAGAGCTTCCAGGCCTTTTCTTTCGGAGAGATGGTCATGAGACCTTCAGGAGGGTGAGCCCAATTTTTGGGGGGGAACCAAGGGAAGGTGGTGGTACTCACGAGGGTTGTTGGGTTGTGAATCCATGGGGATCATGAGCTTGGCCCGGGTGGCTCTGCGGGCAGCCAGCGAGCGCTCCAACGTGGACATGCTGCTTCCAACATCTTCTGCCTCGGGCCCTGGAGGACAACGACACGATGGCTTAGTTGGAAATGCTCTAAAGGAATGTTTCTCTTCACCTTCTATCTAGCAGAAAGATCAATAGGTGTTTTTTTTTTATTTCAGTTATTCTAAACCAACCATTAAATATCACCACCTGCAAAGAGCTGCACAGATTATTTTGGCTGCCTTTTCTGAATGGAAATTATTGTTTGTGATTTTTATTTGGTGAGAGAATTAAGATAACACGTCCCCTTTTGCTTTTGTCTCAGAAATTATCCTGCAAACCCCATTCACTTCATAAAAATGTGATATTTTTCTTCTAACTTCCTGGTTGTCAACTTCTTTCACAATTCAAATACCAAGAACCAGAAAAAAGCTGCATGAATTCAGGTACCTACAAAACCTGGAAGCCAAGAATTGGTCTTTGAGATGCATCTGAAGGATGAAAATGAACTTCCCTGTGAGATGCCACAAAGTCCTATGTCCTGATTGTCCCATAACTCATGGCAGCTCGTTTTTTTTCTACAGCATCCATAGGAAAATTCAAGATGTGCCTGGATCTTCCTGTTATCTGCTCCTGGATCACCAACCAGGACATCTGAGATGGTGTCCAACCCAACCCCAAAGTGTCTCAAGACCTACAGACATCAGACTCTCTGTGAATATGGATGCTGTGATTTAGTCACATCAGTGTAGGAGATTTCAGATATTCAAAGATTCTGGAGAATGCACTTGTCAGAATGAAAGCGTGGTTGAAACTGGATGTTCAGTAAAGGCTATTCATCCCTGATACACCCAAGTAAATACATATTCCTTCAAAAAAAAAAGGGATTTGCATCCAAAAGACCATATTTTTTTACAAATCACTCCCACTGTCTGAATTGCAGGACTAAAATGCCAAGTCTTCTGTCGATGGCCATTCAAAGAGCTAATTGCTAGTGAAAAGCCAGGGCTGGTATCACTGAACTGTGCACCACAGAACGGGAAGAAACATCAAGGCATTTATTTATGGTCCAAGGAGTTTCACCCATAAAATACCCAGCCTTTGGCATTAACTTGATGGCTTCCTACCAGGGGCTCGATGGCCAACCCCCTGCAATCAATGGAGCTCTCACATTGATCTTTCTGGGATCAGCTCTTCTGATCATCTCTACAGGCACAGGGAACCTTCTGTTTACGTCTTCCCAACGTCTAAGTTAACGAGGATCTTTGTATGAAAACCAATAAAAATCATTCTCACAATTATCTTCATAAACAGCAAACTCTCAGCCCCCCCAAAAAAGAAAATTAGATCATTTTAGAAATTTGAAAACTGCTCCTTTTTCACTTTTTATCTTCCAAGAACAGAAACTATGGAAAAGGGATAAGAACATCAGAATCATCTGAAAAAGTCACCTTCATTATTTATACTCTAATATTCTGGAATTATTTCACTCTGCCCCCCACAAGCCACGTGTTCATGATGAACTCAAGACAGAAATGTTTGTGTTTTCCACTTTCTGGGCTGTGTTTTGCCTTCTGTCCCTCCCCCATGTCCACCGTCAGTTTTCCTACTATTTTTTGGGGAAAAAATGTTATCAGCTAAAGTGAAACCTGTGATGTGCTGTGTGCACTGAGGTTAAAAAAATAAGGTGGAAACTTTACTGAAACCACATTTTTCTTACAGAATTTCTTTCCTCATACCTTTAAGTTTTCTCAGCCTCCCTGACCCCAATTCTGCTCCTGGTGGTGCTGCTGACCTTCTTCCTCGATCATGTTCTCCCTCTCCTCCATTTTTAATTTTTTTCCCCACTTACTTTTTCCTCTCTTTTTAGCATGGTATGCAAACCTAGTAACATCTGACCTCCAGCTGAATTCCTGAACTTAAAAAATTAGAATGGTGTGAAAAGCAAACATGATGGGTTTTCTCTCTGTCTGAAAACCCTGCAAAGATCATCTGGGGACATCTCTCCCAGTTCCCATAGCAGAGCTGTCAACTCTTCCAGTCTCTTCTGGGATCTGGGCTCAGTTGGAGAACTCCTCCTGCTGGGTTAAGGTCACTAAGCACCAATATCAGATTAATTTAAAGAAAATTTATAGGCTGGTGATGGAGAGTACGTGGAACGGGGTTGGACCAGATGACCTTTGAAGGTCTCTTCCAACCCAAGATGATAGTGATGTGATGTCACTGCTTAGTGACATGGTTTGGTGATGGTTTTTATCAGAGTTAGGTTGAGGGTTGGACTAGATGATCCTGAAGATCCCTTCCAACCTGGACAACTCTATGATTCTACGACTCCAATCTCCCCAAATTAAAGTGAAACCCATCCAATCCATGTCTCTCCTGCCTTCAGAGTCCCTCACCGGGTTGTGGAGCACTCTTGCTGCCCAGCTGTGTTTCTGACTGGCTGTGGCTGACGGGGGTGATGTCCTGGCAGCTCTGCATCGGGGAGTCCCTTCCCGCCGGGTCCGAGCCTGCTGGCTTCTCGATGTTCTTCATTTCCATCTCTTCATGATGTATCCACAGATCTGGGGGTCTCAGGTCCTTCTGGCTGCCCTTCCTTTTACCAGCACTGTGAGTTGCACGTTTCCTGCACCAAAAGAAAGATCAATATTGTCACTTAAGAATGTTTTTCCCCTTTATAAGACCAAAAATAGCGATGTCTCCTCATTGGTGTCTAAGGAACCCCTGTGGTTGTGTCCTTCAAGGGACAGTAGTTATCTTGGTGTGGTCCTCTGCTTCCCAGAGCTTGCTCCAGGGGATGGGGGAGCTCCAGCTCCTGGGGGCTCAGCAGAGAGGCTCATTTTTTGCACTAATTAATGTAGAAATTGGGAAAAACCACTTTTCCTGGAAGAGAAGGGAAGAGACCAGTTTCATGTGGGGAAGAGCAGGGCTTGTGGAACACCTCAATCTACAAACGGCGACGGAGAACCGCTGAGCCCCCACCTGTGAAGCTACACACATCCTATCCCTTCCATAAAGAAAGTGTGTTTCTTTAAATATCCACTAAAGAAGTATGATTTAAAATACTTCTTTACGGCCCCAGGAGCTGATGGCCATGACTTTTTTTTTACTCCAGCAGAAATATCCCAGTCCTCACACCAGCACCATTAAAGGCAGAAACTGTTCTAGGTCCTTTGGTCAACACCCAACCAGGGTCAAAATATTAAATATTAAATATTAAATATTAAATATTAAAATGTGATCTGGAAAGTTAGAGGTGAGGCCGGGGTCATTCAGAGATATTTTTTTTTATAGCCCCTAATAATTCTGGCTGTTGGCCTCGGGTTATAATTATTTCCTCTGTTTAGCCTGTTATTTTCTAATTGCCCCAACTCAATTATTTAAAATGCTAGTATTTCAAAGAGACAAGATTTCAAAGAGTTCAAACCCAGAGGTCAGCCCTGCCCTTAAAATACAGACGACGGCCGCGGAATCTTGAATACAGAGGTCAGCCCTGCCCTTAAAATACAGACAACGGCCGCGGAATCTTGAATAACGACAGCAGAACTTAAGCTCTACTTTCAAAATAATTAAACTCTCTGGAGAGGAAAACTCATCCTCGTTGTCTGGTTTTAGAGTTTCCAGCCCACCACCTGGCCCAATGTCATTTCTGATGGAGCTGGGGCAGTTTTGGAGACAGGACACAGAAGCAATGACCTCATAAGCCATAATCACCTCCTGCAGGAGCCTCCTGTGCTGCTGCTCACAAAGCACTTGAAGATACTCAACCATAAATGCCAACCTTGCTTCACCTTAATTAACCTTCTGATGCATGAGTTCATATCTTGTATTTTTTGCTCTTTACTCTTTAACCTGCCAAAAATGCACACTTTGCCTTTTGGGCTGTATTAAAGGAAATTCAAGTGGGAGGGAGCTCCTGTACAAAAAGAAAACCCCCAAAAAGAAGAATATAAATCTATTTTTTTTCCTCCAGAAAATCTTCTCCCATTGTTTACCGATCAAAAATTACTTAGTTTTGGCCTCTCTAATCCCTGCCACCCATCCCAAAAAGCTGCAATTCAGTACCTGTCTCTCCTACCACCTGGCCTCGTGGTCTTCTTCATCCTCACGCCACCATGCAAGAGATGGGGCTGAGGCCACCACAAATGATCTACATCAGCGTGGAGGACCCCAGAAGCATCTCCAGGGAACACAGCAATGAAATATGGAGGCTCTTTAGTGGCTGCCAACTCATTGCTCGTTAGTTTGAGATTAATTAATACCTGGTCTAGAGAGGGGCATCCCTGCCCAGGGCAGGGGATTGGAACTAGATGGTCTTTAAGGTCCCCTCCAACCCAAACCATTCTATGATTCCATGATCTTGGCTCCCCCAAGCCTCCCCAAACGTGCACTGACACATCCCTATTAGTTGTAGCAGGACTTAAAACTAGTCTTAGCTAATTAATTGTAGTCTCTTTTCACACCACTCTTCCACCCAGTACAATAATTGGTTGGGCACTTGGTCAAGACCATGCTTTGAGCAACCTGGTCTGGTGGGAGGTGTCCCTGCCCATGGCCTGGGGGTTGGAACTGGATGACCTTCAAGGCCCCTTCCAACCCAAACCTTCCTATGATTCTCTGATTCATTTTTAATAGCTTAAATATGCAGAAAATTGTACTTTCCTTTATTTTAAGATCCAACTGGGATTCATCTTCTCTAAACTTAACCTCCGAACTGACCTGCACTGAAGGACAGAGCTGATGGGTGGCCCCATCGTCCATCCTGGGTGACACCACACCAGGAGACACCGCCAGGGCAGCTCGCTCTGCAGAAGATGTAATTACAGGGAGGGTATGAATCTCAATTAGTGCAGGAGCCTGATGATCAACCAGGAGGGAGGGTATGAATCTCAATTAGTGCAGGAGCCCTGACGATCAACTGGGTTAAGTTATTGCACCCAGATCTTTTACTCACATTTTTCTGCCCTATTTTTTTAGGACCATCCAATTGTCACAGGGTTGGAGTGGTTGATATTTCACTCTTCCCTAGATGGCCGAGATGGAAAACACCTCCCTCCGAAGCCACCCAGGTCAGTCCCAGCTTGTTCTCTCTCATATGCTTTATTGTGCTTTGTTCAGCCAAGTTTTAATTAACTTAAGAAATATGACTTTTCTACCACCGAAGGCTTCCAGGAGATTATTCCATCACCTGCAAGTTTTTGCTCCGGGGAAGGACACATGCATTATCCAACGAGACTCAGCCTTTACCCTCAGTGCACTCCTCCTGCTCAGCAGCTCCGCCGGGATTTTAAATGAAGAACCAGCTGCCAAGAAAAGCCTCAATCTTTGTGTCATCTCTCCAGGTCAGGAAGAAAGTCATTCCCACCAAAAACCTCCGTTTTGAGGAGTCACTCCCACCAAAACCCTCTGTTTTGAGGAAATTCAGGATTTTTTCCTGTTGCGCTAAATTTAAGATCCCGTGTTTAATTTTGATCGCCCTATTTTTTTTCCCATTTTCAATGCAGAAACAGTTTGTTTGGGGCAACTTCTACAGACATTTGAGAGTTAAACAGCAAATCCAAACCCAACTTCATGTTTTTTAACCATAAGCACCTTCCAATGGCAACTCTTCCAATGTCATAGGAGAAGATGAATGATTCTTTGCATATTCTTGCTCCTCCCCAGGAGCTACAGAGGGGGTCAAGGCTAATTAATTCCAACTCAGGTATTTCACTTTTAGACACCTAATTCTGGACACAGGAACCTGTTTGTTTCTCTCTCTTGTTAATTCCCTTTTTTCCTGCTAGAAGCTCAAGAGAGATCCAGCCTCGATTCACTAAACTCCATCCAACAGAAGAACTTCTGTTGCCTTCACACGATGGCCTGATTTTCGGGTGCTCAGACTCACAATAGAAGCAGATTTTCCAATCAGTTCATCATTCAACTACCCCAGGGCTCCTGAAAAGATGCGACCTTAACTTTTCTGCCTAAATGAGAGCTTTCTTATTTAAAAAAATCTACACTCAAATATCCATCTTTAGAGAAAGTGTGAAACACTCCAACAGCTTATTTCAGCAAACTGGGGAGCTCTTTGGTCCCCTCGACCATCTCTGTTTTCATCATCCCACCCTTTTTTTTTAGCATTACTGCAAATCAGGGTAATAATGTGTCTTGCCCTTGGTGCAAACATTTCCCATAATTTTCTATAAACTGGGTGGTTGTTTTTTTTCAAGTTTATGAGAATTTTCCGGAGAAAGAGCTGGTGATGCTTTTCACTGGAAGACTTTTGGAGCTCGACTGTCTGGATGGAGAGGACAACGCCCTCCCCAAGGTGAGTGAGTGAGCAGGACTCTCCATGGATCTCAAAAAACTCTGAGAGCATCACCAAGGACAGAAAAGGTTTGGTTTTTTTTGCCTTTAAATCGATGGAATTGATTCTTTCCTGTGTTTGAATTATACTTGGCAATAAAAGCAGCAGAGAGCTGTGCATGGCAAGCTTATTTTTGGGAGGCTCACCATGCTAGGGCTATTTATTCTCCTGAAGCCTGGGGGACAGGGGACATTCTCCGCTCACCGGCAATGAGGGACACCTCCAAAACCAGAAGATGGAGCCCCAAAATGGAGTTCAGTCCCAGCCCCCTAGGAATGTTATTACCCAGGGTGGTGAAGCACTGCAACAGGTTGCCCAGGGAAGTTCTGGATGCCCCATCCCTGGAGGGGTTCAAGGCCAGGTTGGATGGGGCTTGGAGCAACCTGGTCTGGTGGAAGGTTGGAACTTGATGATCTTTGATCCATGGCAGGGGGGTTGGAACTTGATGATCTTTAAGGTCCCTTCCAATTCTAACCATTCCATGATTCTATTTTTGAAGGTGGCCATCACAGTCCCTTCCAACTCCAACCATTCCATGATTCTGTTTTTGAAAGTGGCCATCACAACTTTTCCCTCCCACCCCGTGATTCCAAGAACCTACTTCCTCTGCTGTGCCGAGGAGCGCCTGGTGCAGATGACGGCCACCACGGCCACCACCACCACCGTGATGACGCCCACGGTGACCACGATGATGACGAGGAGGTTGCTGTTCTTCTGGGGGGTCACGCTGCCGTGGGGAGGGTGCATCTGCCCGATGGGAGGCTCTGAAAGGAGACAAGACAACAAACGAGGGGGTAATTAACGCTGGATTGGCTCCCCTCCTTCTTTAGGAGCCACCCATGAACTAGAAGACATCAAGGTGGCAGGAAAAGCAGATGGAAGGTGCAGAAAGATGCCGTAAAGAGCTGAAATTGATGGCTGGCTGCATTTCAGGGACACAGCAAACTGGAAAATATTTAAGCAGTAACGACTTTGCACTTTCTGGGCGTTAATAACCCGATGGTGGGAGTCAATAACTCTCGGCTGCTTTTTGCTATTATCAGCTGAAAATGGAAATACAGGGAGTATGGATTTTTTTTTTTTCTTTATGGCCCTTATTTCTTGGTATTTACAGGGAAATCCGTATCTTGTGTTCTCAGCCAACCTGACTTCATTTGTCAGTGAGTGCATTCCCCCCCCAGGTCAGTCTCCCATCACATTATATTTCATTTATTGCTCAAAAACTCGAGCAGGTTTGGGGGGGTTCAATCTTCTAAAGTGATGAGTTTCCTCAGTTTCAGGGCAGCAGCAAGACGGGGATTGAAAATAGCATCATTTCTACCCTCAAGCCCCAGTCAAACCCACTTCAAGTACCAATCCCTTGCTTTTGACAATTTTTTTTTCCCAATTGCATCAGGAAAACGTTATATTTCTATTATTTAGTCGGATAATGCCCAACACAGCGTTGGGTCATACGTTACAGACACTGACACAAAACAGTGAGTGATATTTTTGCTTTGTCTGCTCAGGCAACCTTATAGAATTACAAATCCCAAATTATCCTTCCACTTAAGCTTGGAATAATAAAAAAAAACAACCCTAAATATTTGGTGCAATGGGATGCAAAGGGAAGAGCTGTGCTATAGCACATCATAAGAAAAGCAAGTCAAGGGTTTTCACATCATCCCCACAACCTCCCACGTATAAACTGAATAAAATTTGTCTGGCATCTCATTTTGCATTTAGTACAACTGAATGAAAAAAAGGAGAAATCTTTCCAAATAACAATTTTATTTGGCGATTGGTTAATTTCACTGTAATATTCTGCCTTTATTTTCTGCCCTAATATCCTTTCTTTACTTAACTGATTATGCTATTTAAATAATTTGCCCTTTTTTCATAGCTTTTTTGCAGGCAACTGAGTAAGACAAGGTGCTGCGAGTGCCATCCTTTCCACATGACAATGGTCTAGTCCAGAAATCCCAAATATTTATATAATCCCAATTTGGGGTTTTGGTTTCTTCTCCGTTTCCTTGAAGGAATATACCACAAAAAAAGCAGCAGCTATTAAGAAAAACCAGTAAGTTTTCACTCCCTACCCTTTAGTGAAGTCACTGGAAGGTCTCTTTACTCCTCAAAAGTCGGTTTTCCTATAATTATGATGAATGAAGAGCGGGAGAAAGAGCTGAAACATTTTCTACTGGTATTTTCTACTTTCAAACCTTGCTTAATACTGCAATTTAAGGGAATCCTGTCTGTTGTTTCATTCAATAACGTGAGATGCTGCTGCTTCATTAGGTAACAGAGATGGGATCTGGACTAAGAAATTATTGATGGTGGATCTACACCCCAGCTGGCACTGATTAGCTTCAGTTAATTCTTGTTAATCCGTGGGGTTTCCTCTCTTTTCTTCCTATTTTAGGGCAGGATTGATTAATTTTAAGAAATTGTTATTTTCTGCAGAAAGCTGAAATTGAAATATAATAACGTAAAGGGCATTTTAAAGTTATTTTTTAAGCTGTTGGGTTTTTTTTTTAGAGGCCTGAGATACGATTTACAACAGCCCTTGTGATGGAAAAGGCTTTTGGGAGAACTGCACCAGCTGGAAACCTGATGGGTAGTTTGGGGATGAGCTTTGAGAAAGGCAAAATGGAATATATGGTGTCCTGACCCTATTTTTTGTTAACATTTCTGGGTATAACCACTGTCTGGTTTGCAGCAGGTATTTTGTACATAGATGGGACTTTAAAGAGCTGAGATAACTCTTTTGTATAAAACAGTGAGTGTGCAACCTGTGGGCACATTGGGTGGTCTCCAAACTGTGAGAGAGAGGAATGAGAGAGCAAGAAAGAGAAGCAAAGCAGGAGGTTATCACCAAAAATACACTTAATTAAGGAGAATGGCTGAAGGGAGCTTGTATTTACCGTTGAGGCTGCTCCTGTCTATCATGTTGGTGTCCACCGGCCAGTAGGAACCATCCCCGTGACGCCCTGTTGGCAGAAAAAAAATGCATCAGGACACGTTGTGACAGGGAAATCAGCACCATCAAGTGTGTTGCTTGAGACAGAGCCTGTCTGACAGCGTTTAAACCATTAAACAGCACGGGGAAAACCATCCCCATATGTGCCAGGGAAAAATCTGTCATCAAAGCTGGCTTTGGAATCGAGCTGAATTTCAGCCCTTTGAGCAGCTTGTCTTCTTCTCTTGGGTTTTTTTTCCCCCTCCCTTTCCTCCAGATGTGCTCGTTAAGAGTGACAACTGAAGGTTGTTGAGGCAACGTTTGCACTCCAACTTAATAGAGTAAAATTCAAGGTGTTCATCTTTTCCTCTGCCTTATTCTTTCTTATTTATCGGCGTTGGGCTAAAAAGTTGTGTTGGTGTGTCCATGTTCCTGCCCAAGAGCATCTCTCCTTCCTCACGGCCACCAGAAGGAGAATCCCTGTGTTGGTGTGTCCATGTTCCTGCCCAAGAACATCTCTCCTTCCTCATGGCCACCAGAAGGGTTGGTCAAGTCCTACCAAGCCCCAATTTGTCTCTACTGCTATGGGAGCAAAGTCCACGGCAAATCTTTTGGCCAAAAAAACCCCATTTTCTCACTTCCCTGCAGTTGTTTGTTGCCACTGTGTGCTCTTAACTCCAGAGCTACTTGTATTTCTTCGGATCGTGAAGAAATTCCTATGTTTAACTTTATCTACCAATTTGCAAAAGCGTTTGCTGACGAATGGCCCTAAATAAATGGCAGCTGATTATCATCAGAAGAGAACTTCAAGGTAATCATCTTTTCAATCAGCACAATTGCACACCTACAACAACTCCAGCCCGAGAAACCACGGGTGCAAAAGGTTTCGCTGCCAAAGCAGACAAAATAGAGATAAATTTAAGCTACAGAATAATTCTGTTTATCAAGATGACACTCCAAACCAGTCCTATCCACAGCGAGTATGACCCCGGGGTTATACTGTGCTTTGAAAACTGGGCATTTCCAGGGGAAGATTGCTAAATGTGACTATTTTTTGATGTTTAGCCCACACTGAAACCTCTTCATGGGAGCCCAACACAGCGGAAAATTTAGCCAGGATATCAGAGATTTAAAAAAACCCAACTCTGAAGTTTGGTACTTTTTAAATTAACATAACAGCGCTTTTCAAGGCATTATACAAGATGTTTTCACTATAAAAATATTTGTGTTAACAGCCACCCATTTCATTTCTGGCTTCGCTACAGTGACTGGCATTCTCACTGGTAAGAGACAAGACCTCAAATAACTCTTAAAACCCACTATTTCAACAGCACCGTTTGGAAGGGACAACCAAGATCAAACTGATTTGGTGATTTGGCTCTGTTCTGCTATTAAGACATATAAATATTATTCAATATTTGGATAAAGGTGGAAATCTAAGCACTTTGGAGATGGGAGATCAATCTCTGATGCACATTCAATATGTTGAAGAGAAGGTGGGGCTTAAACCCCTAAGGATTATCCATGCTCTGTTCTAAGCCAACACCCCTCCATCAATAATTTCTATCATTTCCAAGTTTAGGTTTTATTTCCCTTTAAAAAACTCAAATGCTGGGCAAGAGCATTGCTAATTTGAGGCTTCATTCGATTTCATGGCTCTAGGTTCTAATTGGCTTTAGAATCATCTAATTAAGAAGTAAGCAAACCCCCACACTTTCACTAAATCTTCAATATCTTTACTGTTTGCAAATCCAAGATTGTGGAAAAAAAATTTAAATCTTCAATATCTTTACTGTTTGCAAATGCAAGATTGTGGAAAAAAAATAAAGCTGCATAAATCCAAGATGAGGTGAACAGATACCACATCTCCTGTTGACTTTCTACTCTTGGTTCAGGTCCATCTGGAGGTGATTGTCTCAATCACATCTCAGCATCAGGTGAAACACAACCAAGGTGCTGGAATCTTCTTTAAACAACTTCTTTAAATCTCTTCAAATCATCTTCTTTAAATCTCTTCAAATCATCTTCTTTATATCTTCTTTCCATAGCTTAAATCTTCTTTAAATTTTAAACATGCCTTGCCTTCTGAGATGCTTTCCATTTTCTGGACCTTAAGAAAGAGTTCCTACACCTGCTTGGTAAACACGGCCAGATGACAAGAGTTTAAAAGGCTTTTTTATTTTTTTTTTTTCCCCAGAAGGGGTTATTCTGATAAAATAGGATATTTCTTATTTCTTTTCTCCAGCACGGAGTGTTCCAGACCACTGTGTTATTTGTTTAGGAAGCAGCTCTTTGAAAACAGATCTGAACTGCTCATCCCTTCACTCCTGCTACGCTCAGAGTTTGCAAAATAGCTTCAGAACCCAGAGCCAGGAGCCATCAAAAGCTTTAATAGAGAAAAAAAAAAGAAAAAAAAAGGCAAACTTGATGCCGTTTTCAAGCATGAAGGAATATGCAGAAAAAGGAGCAAACGGCAACGCGCCTGAGATAATCCAACACGGTGAAGGTTGAACGGTTGAAAGCCAAACTCCAGGCATGACCAGACTGGGCATACACTGGTTCATCCTCTCTTCAGGAGACACAAAGTTCCCCCATATCACTTCCACATGCTGCTGGATTGGATGCAAAACAATGGAGACCACTGTTTTCCTCAGGATTTGGAAATCATAGAACGAGTTTGGGTTGGAATGGAACTTGAAGACCATGCAGTTCCAACCTCCTGCCCTGGGCAGGGACACCTTCCACCAGACCAGGTTGCTCCAAGCCCCCTCCAACCTGCCCTTGAACCCCTCCAGGGATGGGGCAGCCACAGCTTCTCTGGGCAACCTGGGCCAGGCTCTCACCACCCTCACAGCAAAGTTCTTCCCCACATCTCATCTCCATCTCCCCTCTTTCAGTGTCAAACCCTTCCCCCTCATCCTATGGCTCCCTTTCTTGATCCAGAGTCCCTCCCCATCTCTCCTGAAGCCCCTTGAGAGACTGGAAGGGGCTCTAAGGTCTCCCTGGAGCCTTCTCTTCTCCAGGTGGAACAACCCCAACTCTGTCATCCTGTCCTCCCAGCAGATGAGCTCCAGCCCTTGCAGCATCTCCTTGGCCTCCTCTGGACTTGTTCCAACAGCTCCATGTCCTTCTTGTGCTGAGGACTCCAAAGCTGGACACAGTGCTCTGGGTGGAGTCTCAGAATCACCTCCCTCGACCTGCTGGATGTCTGACTTGGATGGCCTTCTCCATGGGCTTTATGTGGAGGATGGGTATGGTCACCAGCCCTGCTCCAGGCATGGGCAAGAGAAGACCTCCAACTGGCCTCACTATGGCAGTAAACATTAAATCTGAACTTAGAACTATCCAGTTTATGGTTTAAAAAGAATAATTTCATATCTAAAAAACTCCTACCTGTGTTCCACAGTGCTCTTTGAATTTATCTAGATTATGTGACCCATTTCACGGGAGGTACGTTGTCAGAAAACAACTGAACAACAAGATGTATTGAAATTTCCTAAGATAAGGAGAAACATTTGTTCAAAATTGTGTACGGTTCCTTTTATCAATATTTACAGGAGATGTTAAAAAACATTTGGAGTCTGAAGGCAGAAACTGGCTTTTTTTCCTCTTGCAGAGATTTAATTCCGATGGCAACAAAGAACCGTTGACAACTCCTGTATTGTCAAAGTAAGGACTAAAGAATTTGTTCTATCAAATGGAAACTGGGGCAAGATAAACCACAAAGAATTAATCTCTTCTTTGCCCAATTTGCTTCCGTGTATTTTGGATGAACATCATAAACAGAATTTTGTAGACTCCAGAAAGCCTCTACTTGGACAACACTTGAAGTTTAAGGCTTTCCTTAAGAAATCCATGATTTGATTGTCTCCAGACGTCGATGCTCCTCCTTTTGCCCTTCGGATAACAGTGTCTGCACCCTGTTGGGAGGGTTATTTGCATTTCATCAACAGGACTTCTCCTTCTATGGCAGAGAGTTGCTGATCAAAGCTGGGATGGGATGGGCTCTACTCCGTTCATCACTCATGGGCAAGAATAAAGTAATGGAGATGAGGTATCTCCTGCCTCCTTCCTCTTCTACACCTTGACCCCTTCTTGCAGTGGCTGGTCTCTGCTCTCCCAAAGAGTTGACACAACAAGGAGCACATCTGACCAAGAAACCTTTGAGGTTCTCTCCAAATTCTCCTCTTGCACTGAAGGATGGCAGCAATTGTACTGTCCCTTCTAGATGACCCCATACTTGGAATCATCAAAGCTCCAATGCAGAGAATCATAGAATGGGTTGGGTTGGAAGGGATCTTAAAGACCATCCAGTTCCAACTCCCCTGCCCTGGGCAACCTCCCACCAGACCAGGTTGCTCAAAGCTCCATCCAACCTGGCCTTGAACCCCTCCAGGGATGGGGCAGCCACAGCTTCTCTGGGCAACCTGGCCTTCCCAGCATCTCCGTGGCCTCCTCTGGACCTGTTCCCAGTCTCCTCATCAGAGATATATTCATATTTGGGAGACGTAACGCTAATGCCTTGAAAAGTTGACTAAACTTTGCTGTTATGAACCAGAAAAGGTGATTTATGATTTCTCACCGCGAGGCTTTTTGAACTTTACTCTCTAACCCACGGAAGGGTGCAAGAGGAGCCGGGAAATTATGCTGAGCTTAATTATACTTAATGGGAATTATTCAGAAGTGCGGCGGAGAGACTCCAAAATTTATTTCGTACAAAGAAGCTTGACATTTTAATTGGTCCTTCAGAAAAGAGACAAAACAATTTCCTCTCCCGAAAATTTACATCTCCCCCATCAAAGCCAGCAGCCTCAGCCGAGCAGAACTTCATTAACGAGATTAATTATCGCGCCACAGCGTCTGCCTCATCAGGTGTGCAACCCAGGTGAGAAGCGTGGTGTCCCCCCACCCATCCCTCCCTCCCCGGCGCGTCCCCGAGGCCCCGGCAGAGAAGGTGACAGATGGAGGGCACCCTACCTTGGTCATTAGCCATTTTGTCAGGGTGCTCGGCTGCAAGAAAGAGACAATGTCATTAGAAGTTGACAGCTCCTGGCTGGCGAGGTGACACGTGGCGTTAACGGGGTGGCACGGCGCGGCCATCCCACGTGGCGCAGGAGGAACAGGAGGAGGGGTTTCACCATCCCCCTTTTTCCCAAAGATCCTGGAGAACCGAGAGGACAAACACACAATCATGGAATCACAGAACCATCTCCAGGTGGAAGGGACCCGTAGGGACCATCGAGTCCCCCCCGTCTACATGAATCTAAACCATACGAGCATCATCCAGAGGCTCCTTCAACTCCCAACACGGGTGGAACCACCCCTTAGATCAGATATTTTCACCAAGTTCTTCCGATTGTGAACCCTTTTTTTCATTCTCTTCTTCTTTTTCAATATGATCCGGGATGTTTAATTAAGCAAGAAGGGAAAGAGAGAAGCAGCTTCTTTGAATAATTACAGTCAAATCACCTCCACGTTGAAAGCTCAGCCCTGACTTCTATTGTTTCAGCTTTTTTTTTTTTACAAAGGGTTTTAAAACTATTTACATGTTTTTGCATAATAATCATAAAAAGACAAGGCTGTAAAATTCAATAGATATATTAAAAGCCTTCTTGCACAGCTACAACTTCTGACTATTTATGACATGGCCGAGGGAATTAAACTTTCCTTGGATTCCTAAGTAGATCCCATCGTAGAGCATTAACCAGTTCCTCTGCTTAATAAATTATGCAAGAACCTTAAGCACAGGAAATTGGGAGGGGGGGGAAAAGAAAAGTGATTTGGCCCAGGAATCTGGAAATCAAATCACTGCTGCCTGTGGGTGCTCCCAAAATCCCCACCAAACCTCCTCTGCATCAGGGCATCCCACAAAAGGAGGTACCGAACCAGCAACGACTTCACTCTAAATGTTAAAAAAATAGTATTTGTAGACACATCTGAGCTGCTTGGATGGGGAAGAGGGGTAAAAACTCCTCCAATGATCCCTAAACCCTCAGGTAATTTTCAATTTTCCCCCTCTCAGGTTTTTTAACGTGGATTTAGAGAAGAAAAGGAGGCTGAGGAGCACGTTGCCTTCAAGTTTGGAGATCAAGGTGAACCTGTGCTTCCCCACCCACCTCCTCTGCATCAGGGCATCCCACAAAAGGAGGTACCGAACCAGCAACGACTTCACTCTAAATGTTAAAAAAATAGTATTTGTAGACACATCTGAGCTGCTTGGATGGGAAAGAGGGGTAAAAACTCCTCCAATGATCCCTAAACCCTCAGGTAATTTTCAATTTTCCCCCTCTCAGGTTTTTTAACGTGGATTTAGAGAAGAAAAGGAGGCTGAGGAGCACGTTGCCTTCAAGTTTGGAGATCAACATGAGCCTGCACTTCCCCACCGAGCCCTACCTGGATGCTCACCTTTCCCTCGGGACAAATATCTCCAAGGAAAACACAAATCCTTCCTCGTGGCTGAAGTTACCTCCTTCCAAGGAGGTAAGATGCTGCCCTGGCCCCCCTGGGCGTTTGCTGCCTTCTCCAGGTGATGGAGATGGTGAAGCCCCTTGCCCAGGATGGGATGGGCGACCGGGGGGTCCCCCAGTTGGTCCCGGTAACGAACTGGGATGCGGCGGTGGCTGGACCGCGCCGCCGAGGCAGCATTAGAGGGCACTGCAGGGCTAGAAATGCTGCCCCACAGCATCCCTGCCAAAAAAAAAAGGGGGGGGGGGGGGGGGGGGTAGGGAAGAAGGAGGAGGAGGAGGGGAAGGGGAATGACTAGTGATGACACATGTATTTAACACTGCATGTCTCCTCTTTCCAGATTAGGAGGAGCTGGCAAGCTTCAGTCTGTACACATGCCAACAGCGGATGTCGGCACATATACAACAGTTT